AATAAAAAAAAAGGCTTAACCCAATTGACCCAAAGTCTCTAGATACCCAGATTGCGAGATATATATCTAGATAGATAGATAAATAGCTTAACATAATACAATACATAATTTTTAATTGGTTGGGAACACAGAGATACAAAGGATAAACTAAAAGCAGAGGGCTTCCCTGGTGGCACAGTGGTTGGGAGTCCGCCTGCCAGTGCAGGGGATGCGGGTTTGAGCCCTGGTCCAGGAAGATCCTACATGCCGTGCAGCAACTAAGCCCGTGCACCACAACTACTGAGCCTGCCCTCTATAGCCCGTGAGCCAAAACTACTGAGCCCGCGTGCCACAGCTACTGAAGCCTGCATGCCTAGAGCCCGTGCTCCACAACAAGAGAAGCCATTGCAATGAGAAGCCCACACACGGCAACAAAGAGTAGCCCCTGCTCGCTGCAACTAGAGAAAGCCCACGCACAGCAACAAAGACCCAATGCAGCCAAAAATAAATAAATAAATTTATTTTTAAAATAAAATCGGGGCTTCCCTGGTAGCGCAGTGGTTGAGAGTCCGCCTGCCGATGCAGGGGACACGGGTTTGTGCCCCCGTCCGGGAAGATCCCACATGCCGCGGAGCGGCTGGGCCCGTGAGCCATGGCCTCTGAGCCTGCATGTCCGGAGCCTGTGCTCCGCAGCGGGAGAGGCCACAACAATGAGAGGCCCGCGTACCGAAAAAAATAAAAAATAAAATTAAATTAAATTAAAATTTAAAAAATGAAAGCGGAGAGGCATGCACCTGGGGACAAAGACCAGGAGACAGAAACTCAGAAGCAAGGCCAGTGAGATACAGAGAGAAGCAGACTCACAGAGACAAAGCAAAAGCAAGAGAGAGATTGACAGAACCACAGGGTCTCCCTCCTTTAGCCAGGAAGCTCCATGGGGGCAGGGATTTTGTCTGTTTTGTTATTACTGTATCCCCAACGTGTAGAGCAGTACCTGACTCTCAGCAGGTGCGCAATAGATGGAAAAGCAGAGAGCCTGCAGTTCCCTCAAACAGCACCAGGTGGCAGTATCCCAACGCCCCGAAGCCTCCAAATGCCTAAATCCAAAAGACAGCAGTCGGAGGATTTGCCGCCACAGGCCTCAGACTTTCTGGACGTCTTCCCCTGGGCTGAGCCCCGCCTTTCCCTGCACAAGCCCTGGGTGATGAGTGACCTTTCCATATGAGACTACCTCTTCACCCGCTCCACCACCAGGCCGAGTTAAACAGCTCTTTCTTTGTCCTTGGCCCCTTCCGGCTGGGCACCAAGGCATCTGGGTCCATTCCAGGCCCGGAGATGGGGCTGGGATGAAGGTGGGGCAGCTGGGACGAGGCCAAGGAAAAGTCCTAAGGATTTTGGAATCAGTTTTCCTAGTCTTCCTGGACCAGGAGTATGGGTCCAGCCCCCTCCTCCCTCAGACCCAGGATCCAGGACCCCGGCCCCTCCTCCCTCAGACTCAGGATCCAGGACCCCGGCCCCTCCTCCCTCAGACCCAGGATCCAGGCCCCCGGCCCCTCCCCCCTCAGCCCCAGGATCCTGGTCCCCGGCCCCTCCTCCGTCAGACCCAGGATCCAGGTCCCCGGTCCCTCCCCCTTTAGACCCAGGATCCTGGTCCCCGGCCCCTCCCCCGTCGGACCCAGGATTCTGGTCCCCAGCCCTCCTCCCCTCCAAGTCCCTTGCAGCTGCCCTGCTCCCTCCTCTGGGCAGAGAGGTCCTCTAGTGCTCCCCCTCCCTGTCTTTTACAGAGACCCCCTCCCCCTCCATGCCCCCCTTCCAGGGTTGAGACTAAAGGTGAGTCACAGGAAGCGCTGGGGCCCTGAGTCACCAACCCCCTCTCTGGGCTGCAGGGAGCTGGCTCGGGCGCAGTGTGCTACCAGCTGACCCCCATAGCCCAGAACTTCCGTTTGGAGGCAGGTGCCCTTCCCACTCTGGCATCTCCCACACCCTGCCTAGTCTCCGCTTTTCTCTTTTAGTCGTGGTCTCTTTGGAGGCAAAATTTCCCTCTGCTCCAACTTCCCTGTCTTGATTCTGACTCCTGCTTTCTCTTCACCACTAGGTCTCTTCTGTCTCCAGCTCTTTGGGTTTGTAAAAACTTCTTCCCCCAACCTCCTCCCTCCCCTCTCTCCCCCTCCTTCTCTGTCTGTCTCTGTCCCTCCCTCTCCTCTGGCTCCAGCATTCACGGTCTCTCTGGTTGTCTCTCTCCCCTCAGTTTTTCACAGTTGCCTGCACTGGAGCACAGAGGCTGTGGAAGGCCTGGGGCTGGAGGTCTCTGTTCCGTGGCCACTGACCCTCTCAGGCAGCCGCAGTCTGTGTGTCCCTGGCCTTTGGCCCCTGAGCTTAGAGAGGCCCAGAGACACAGAGCACTAGAGGCAGAGAGAGGATGAGATAGAAAAGAGAGCACAGGCAGAGATGGAGACAGAGTCAGAGAGCAACAGACAGAGACACAGATAGCGACGGACAAAGAGAGGGACAGGGACAGGTAGCGAGAGTGAAATAGAAAAGCAGCGGGATCACAGGATCTCACTTCTATGTGGAATCTAAAAAAAAAGGGTGCAAATGAACTTACTTACAAAACAGAAAGAGACTCAGAGACACAGAAAACAAACTTATGGTTATCAAAGGGGAAAGGGTGGGAGGGATAAATTGGGAATTTGGGATTAACGGATACACACTACTGTATATAAAATAAACAACAAGGACCTACTGTATAGCACAGGGGACTACATTTAATATCTTGTAATAACCATAATGGAAAAGAATCTGAAAGAGAATATATATATTATATATACATATATATAACTGAATTACTTTGCTGTACATCCGAATCATTGTAAATCAACTATACTTCAATAAAAAAAAATGTTAAAAGCAGTGGGATGCAGGGATAGACACAGAGACAGAGATGCTGAGAGACATAGGGACACAAAGAGAGGCAGAGCCAGAGAGAGAAATGGAACCAGAGAAATGGACAGAGAGAGACAGAGCCAGAAGATACTTAGACAGAACGGAAATAAAGGCATAAAGGAGAGGAAAGCAGAGACAGAGAAAGACAGTCGGAGAAAGAGATAAAGACGAACCGAAAGGCTTCCAGAGCGGGAGAGACCGAGACAGCAGTCTGAGGCAAGGCCTGGGGAAGCCGAGAGGGAGGGGAGGTGGGGGGGTTGCTGGTCAGGCTGTAGCCTGGCAATCCCCCCGCTGCAGCATCTCCTCCAAGCAGACAGGCATGTGTCTCCATCACTACCCCCACCGCGTCTCATCCTGAGTGGGAATCACATGCGCACCATGGGGCCGGGCTCCAGCATAGGTTGTGTTTTTGTCACCGGGTGTGTCTGTGTGTGCGGTTTGGTGTCTCTGGGTGTGTCCATGTGGGTTGTGGTGGTGTGACGCCAAGCATGTCTGTGTGTGTCTCATTGCCCTGTGGCTGGAGGGACCATGTTCCTACATGGCATACAACTCAGGAGGGGAGAGGGGTTATGTCTGTGTGTTTCCCCAGAGAGTGGTGTCCATAGGGCCACACACCACACAGTGAGAGGGGTTTTGTGTCACCTCGCCAGTGAGTCCTGGTGTGTTGCTGGCGGAGGGTTTTGATCTGTGTCTAGATGTACGGTATACAGCCCCGTGCGTAACTTCTGTGCTGCTGCATGTGGTCACATGCCGCATGGTTGCCACTCTGGGGGTCACCATGCATCAGTCTGCATCGCATTTGCTGTTCTCTTCCTTATGGGTGTTGTGTGTGTAAAGTTGTGTATCACTCAGTGATGTGACCCTGTGTCTCCTTCCAGGTGTGTGTCCATGTTGGGGCCTCTCTTTTCCCTGCCAAGAACACAGACTGGGGACCCACACGCAGAGTGTTGTGTTTGCACGGCTGTGTATTACATTGTACCAGAGGGCGTCCCCCGGTGCTGTGTGTGGTGTCATTGCAGGCCTAAGTGATGGCTGTCAGTGGGTCACATCTACTGGTTCATGAGACAGTGTTTGTGCTGGGAAGTAGTGTAGCACGTGTTTTGTGTCATTGTGTCTTTGTGTATTCCACTGTATATGTTGTGTTTGTGTGGCCACCTGTGTTGGAGTGTATCATGTTCCAGGCTGTGTGTGGGTGTGGTTTATGGCGTCGGTCCCAGGCGATGGTGCACGTTTTACTCTGTTCACGGTGCTCTTGGGCATCAGGGTCCATGTAGCCTGTGGCCAGCCCCCCTCCCCCGGGGGCACCATTCTTGGTTGTGTCCTGTGTGATGCACCAAAATGTCTTACACGGGGCATGTGCCGCTTGGGTTTCTGTGTGTGTCACTGTGCCTATAGGTCAGTTCCTACACGCATCCGTTCATGTTGTCCTCTGACTGCATATATGAATGGCATTGTGCACCGGGGTGTATTGTCTGTCAGGGTGAATCCATGTGTGTTGCGAATCATTCTATGAGCATATGTGCTTGAGTCACCACGTGCCGTAACGTACGTCAGTGTGCATTTCTCCACGTGCTGGGTGATTGGAGACTGCCATGGGTGTGTCCCTAAGTGCTGTGTGTCTGCACACGTCGTGTTCTGTTCCACAGGTGTGTGATGGCTGAGTGCTTTGTTCACACAGATATGTTGTGTGTGGCATTTGGGGACTGCGAGGTCAATACAGATTGTGTGTTTGTGGAACACCCGTATATTTTGTGTTTGTGTAGCTACGAATGGGCATCATCCTGTCTGGGTGTGGCTGTTTGTGTCCGAAGATGTCGTGCCAACTTTGATTGCAGTGTTTGTGCCTGCGTGTGGACAATATTTAAGTGGCCGTGTGTGCCACGGGGTGCTGCCTGCCTCACTAAGTGCCGGTGTGTGTCGGTCGCATCATGTGTGTGGTGTCCGGGTGTGGCTGTGAGTTTCAGAGCTTGTCGGGAGTTGTGAGTCACTCGTTGTAGGTTGTGTTGTATGCCCATGGGTGTTATAGGTTCTGTCTCTGGCCATACCGTGTTTGAGGGTGTTATCACCCTGTGTTGCATGGTGTCCGGGTGTGGCTGAGTGTAGGTGTGTATTACACGCTGCAGACCGTTGTGTATGACAAAGCCCATTGTGTGTTGGTGTGTCTTAATCCATGTGGACACACGCCTCTTCCTTGCTCTGCCCCAAGACACACCCAGCCCCTCCTTAGTCTGAGAAGGGGGGTTGGGGAGCCTCCCCTCTGCCCAGGGGCCTCCCCAGCACCTCCCCGCCCTGCCCAGCAGTCACCACCCCCCAGAGGGCACAGGCTCTGCTGTGCCTCAAAGCAAGAGCCCAGAGCAAGGGAGCAGAGCAGGCCGGGGACCTGCAAGCCATAGTGGCTGCTCTTTGTGTGCTGCGAGGTGGGGGACTCTGGGCAGGAAGCTGGCTGAGCCCCAAGACCCCGGGGGCCATGGGCGGGGAGCTGGTGCCGGGCCTGGGGGCCCTGCGGCGGAGAAAGCATCTGCTGGAGCAGGAGAGGAGTCTGGCAGGCTGGGCACTGGCACTGGCAGGAATCGGCATCGGACTCATGGTCCTGCACGCGGAGATGCTATGGTTCGGGGGGTGCCTGGTGAGTGGAGGCTGGAGGGGCTGGAAGCTGAAACTGCTGGGTCTGAGGGAGGAGGGGCCTGGGGGCCAGGACTCTTGGGTCCTGAGTGAGTAGAGGCTGGAGACCCCTGGGTCTGAGAGTGGAGGGAGCTGAGGGCTGGAATCCTGGGACCTAGGGAGGTAAATGCTGGGGGCCCTCTCTGCAAAAGGAAGGGAAGAGGGGTCACAGAGTGTCAGTTTGAAGGTATTGCAATTAGACAGTTGGAGGTCCAGGAGCCCTGGAGGCCAGGAGGTGGCTGGTCAGATACTTGAGCAGATTAGGGGAGAGGTAACCCCAGGTTCAGTGAAGGGAGGGTGGGGAGAAAGGCTGACTTCTTCCAGTAGGCAGCAGCTCCTTGGTCTTTATCTAAACTCTAATGTTTGCACAGTATCTCAGAGGCAAAGGGCAGAGACCAAAAGAACTGGCTGGGTGGGGGGGTGGGAAAAGAAAACAAAGCACCGCCTCCCTCCCCCCTCCATCTCCAACATTAAGAAGCTCAGCTTCCCCAGAATCTATGGGCTATTTAGTCTGGGAAACAATGGAGAGGTAGGTTTATGGTAGCCTGGACTCCTGGGTCCCAGGAGAGGAGAGGCTGGGGCCCGGGTTCCTTAGAGGTGACTTAGAGCGTTTTTAGGGGGAGAGGGGCTGACTTTGAGGATAGTGTGAGTGGGGAAGGAAAGAACAAGTGGGGCTAGGACAGGTCTGAGCAGGTTCCCAGCACATTCCAGCCCTGGTCCGGGCAGCGATGGGGGCAGATGAAGGACACGGGTCAGAATTGGCGGCTTGAGGACGGGACAGAATTGCTCAACAGGAAAGGAGGGGTTGGAGATCTGTCTAGGGTAAGGGACGTGGAATTGGGCTGGTTGGAGGGCACTGATTGGAGGATTGAGTTGGGGGGATTTCTGGGGGACAACACTCAGGCTTGGATTTGGGGGTGGGAGAGGCAGACAGCTTTGAAGTGACCAGGAGCCACACGGACTGTCAGGGCAGGCTGGCTTCCTCTGGCCGGGTGGCCAGGCGAGGGCAGCGGGCACTGAGGGGGTGGGGCCGCCAAAGCCCATGCCAACAGGAAACATGGTCAGGCCGACCCGCCGCTCCCACACTTCAGCACCCCGCCCAGCAGGCGAGGTGAGGACAAGGCAGCCCTGGCAGATGGGAAGGGACAGGGGGTCTTTCCTACGCCACCCCATCCCTCCGCTGCCTCACCTCCAATTGCTTCCCTCTACCACCTGCCAGGCTGCTGCCTCCAGCACGGGGACTCTGGAATCTGCTGCAGCTCTCTGAGCCTCAGTTTCCCCAACTGGAAACCGGCGGTGAGGGTTGAAATACATTATCTGAAGGGTCCTCCTCGGCCCCCTTTCTATGACTGCCTTGACAACACCCGTGTCCCCTCCCCACCTCCATCGTAATCTAATAAACTCATTTTGCAGGGATCCAGACACCTGCTCGCCAGGAGGGAAGGGCTGGAGGAGAGGCAGGTGCCAGACCCCACCGATGCAGGGGAACGTGATAGAGATAGTGGGGCGGGAGAGGGAGGATGGTGAGAGGTACCGAGAGGCAGAGATACACAGAGAGACCGAGACAGAGAGAGACCAAGACAAAGATGCAGTAAGAGATGGAGTGGTACAGACAGAGAAGGGGGTCAGGGATTCGGGGCAAGAGGAATTGGAAAGGAGAGAGGACCACCAGAGAAGTGGATTGCAGAGTGGGGAGGAGGTTGGGTCTAGTGGGATGTTCTTTGGGACAAACTAAAGAGAGGGACAGGGAACTGGGGAGCCACAGAAGGATGAAGGGGTGGGGAGGGCTAGGGACAACAGCACCATTGTTCGGGGAAGGGGGGCAGGTCCCATGGGGCAGGAAACTGGCCCTCTTCCTCTGCACAGAGGGGGGCCCTGGCCGGGTCAGGGGAGCTGGCAGTGTTTTAGGAGAAACAGGTGCTGAGCTCAGAGTGGGAGCCCAGGTGGCCCCTTCCCCCTGACACCACCTCCCAGGCAGGGATCCACACACACACCCCCTCCTAGGGAATCCAGCAGTCCCAGTCCCCTCTAAATCCCTTCCTCAAGAATTCTAGATTCCTCCAAGGTATTGCCACACAAAGACGGGAAAAAACTTCCTGTGGTTTCTGGAGGCCATGTGCTTCTGGGCAGCTCTGCCCTGGGCTTAGAGCCAGGAGAGAACGCAGGAGGTGGGGAGGGGGGCAGAGGAGACACACGGGGCAGCAGGACTGGGGGGCCTTTCTCAGAGCTGGGGCTGGGGTCTTAGGAACCCAGCCCCTGGACGAGGGCAGGGGAGGGTGTCACTCATTCCTTGGGGCCTGAGTGATAGTTTCTAGGCTCCTCAGGAACTGCGGAGGGCAGGTGGGGGAGGGGAGGGACCTGAAGTTGCTTTCTAGGGCAGAGACCAGCTGGGTGGGAAGGGAAGGGGAGGGACCACTTTTTAGAAGCTAAATGTCTATTTCTAGACACCCCCCCATACACACACACACACACATACACACACACACACACACAACTGAGGAACTATTATTGATGGGGACCAGTACAGGGGAATTAGGAAGGAATGTGAGTTTCAAGGTCTTCCCTCAGGGGTGTGGTCCTAGCAGAAGAGCTGAGGAGGAGGGTGAACACTGGCACCTGGGCCAGGGCTGTCCCCTTGGGAAGGAAGAGGGCACTCTCCCTGGGGACCAGATGATGGTTCTGAGACTTCCCCAGACCTGAGGCATCAGGGGGAACTGGGCTGGGGGCTGGGGGCTAGGAGGCTGGGAAATTGGGACTGGAGAAGGGATGGCGGTTTGGGAAGAGTGCAGCGGGGGCTGAGGGAGGCCTAGGCTCTCACCCCTCTCTCCGTCCCTCCCAACAGTGGGCGATCCACCTGTTCCTGGTTAAATGCATGATCAGCATCTCCACGTTCTCGCTCCTTTCCCTTATTGTGGCCTTTCACGCCAAAGAGGTCCAGGTAGGCCCCCAGCCCCTTTCTAGCTCCCCTCAGCCCACCCCCACGCCCTGTCGGCTCACCCTTCCCACCTCCTGGGCTGAGTAATGAGCTTCCTCCACCCTGAGATACATCCACACCCTCATCCACCCGGAGGGGATGAACCACGGACAGACAGACAGCCCCCCAGCAGCCCTGACCTTCCTCCACCTGCTGCCCTGTCTCACCTTGCACACCTGTAGATGCTGAGAGTTCCCGCCCCCAGGCCTCTGTCCACTCTGTCCCAGGTTGCCTCACACAAGACACAGCCTCCCAGATCTCACTTTTCCATCCCTGAGTCCCGTCCCAACAACCTAAGATCCTAGCCATGTGCCCGCAGGTCCTTCCCCACTGCTGAGCTCCCCACCTCTGTGCCAACGACTCCACAGACCCAGAAGCCCTTCCCACCCGTATCCCCCCCTCCCATCTCATGTCTCAACCCACACTGGACTCTCCACCCCTTCCCCTCTCATCCCATCCCCCACATCCCCAGATCCTGTTTCCTTCCCCCCACACCTCTGCAGTATAAAATGAGGGTTATTGGTCGAGTGTGGTGACGCCCCTTGCAGTGCCTGGCACACAAGATGTGCTCAGTAAGAAGTACACATTATCATTAAAGCAGTCATTCGAATAGTTAAGTGGCCTGAGAGCCCTGGGCCTCAGTTTCTGCATCTGTAAAATGGGGGTAAGAATATTTTCAATCTCACTGTCTTGTGAGCATTCGCTGAGTCACACATGTACAGAGGACAGCGCAATGCCTGGCACCTCCAAAGTGCCCTGTAAACGTTGGCTATTATCATTGCTAATGGGACAATGGCAATTACTACTGCATCCCCAGAAACTGGAGTTAGGACACAGCTCTATGGATGTGGAATGTAAGTCCTTGGAGAGGCAGGGGTTTTGTTTCGTTTGTCTTGTCCACCCATATCCTCAATATATCTCAACATATGGAACAACGTCGGGCATACAACAGGCACTCAATAAGTGCTTCTGGGCTGGAAGTTCTGGAAGTGGGCTGAAACTAGGGGGAGAAGGTGGAGAGATGTCTTCCTTGGGTCCTGCCCTGCCCCTTCCCACCCTCCCGGGCCCCATGCCCTGCGCTATCTGCCTCCCTCTCCGGCCCCGCGGGCGCGCCCCCCTTATCTCCCCGCGCAGGCTGGGGAGCGGGAGCCTGACCTTCGTGTGACCCCCCCTCCTTCTCCATCCGTTCCCCTCCCTGCAGCTGTTCATGACGGACAACGGGCTCCGGGACTGGCGCGTGGCGCTGACCGGGCGGCAGGCGGCGCAGATCGTGCTGGAGCTGGCTGTGTGCGCGCTGCACCCGGCGCCGGTGTGGCGCCCGCCGTGCGCGCAGATCTCGGGGTCCCCGCAGACGGCGGTCACGCAGTCCTGGCCGAGCTTCCTGGGCCAGGCGGAGGCGCTGCTGTCGCTGGCCATGCTGCTGCGCCTGTACCTGGTGCCCCGCGCCCTGCTCCTGCGCAGCGGCGTCCTGCTCAACGCCTCCTACCGCAGCATCGGCGCGCTCAACCAGGTCCGCTTCCGCCACTGGTTCGTCGCCAAGCTGTACATGAACACGCACCCCGGCCGCCTGCTGCTCTGCCTCACGCTTGGCCTCTGGCTCACCACCGCCTGGGTGCTGTCGGTGGCCGAGAGGTGAGGGTGCGCGGGGAGGGGAGGGCGGGAAGGGACGGTACCTGGAGCCTCTGGAGGAGCCGCTTACAACCACCATCGCCCTGTACCGTGGTGCAGGTTGGGACTCCCTGGGACCAAGAAGTGGAGAAAGCCTATCGCCCCAAAGCCTTTCCTCCACCTGCAGTCTCCAGTCTCCCCAGACACACACACACACCATAGGAAGCCCTGCCCTTCCTGCTTCCAAATCTCTCCTGCCTCAGGTTTCCAGGCATCTGTTCAGTCTCAACTCGCAGGCTCTGGGCCCTGGCCAAGGGTTGCACCTGCTTTGGAGGAAGGGGACGTCTCTTCCAAATTAGCACAGATGCACTGTAGGTGCTCCCAGTGACCCCCGGGCTGCGCCAGAAGGGAATTCCGTGCAGAGAATTGGTACGGGAATTCGAGACCCCCTGCTGGACTTTGACCTGATGCTGGAACTGTACCCCTCAGGGCCTCCACTTACCTTACAGATAAACAAATTGGGGGTAATCTTAGCCAGTGGTTCTCAAAGTGTGGTTCTGGACCAGCAGCATCTCCTGGGAACTGGTTGCAAATCCAAACTCGCAGGCCCCACCCGGATCTGTGGAATCCAAAACTCTGGTGGGTTGGGCCCAGCAATCTTTTTTAACAGTTCACGCTGATGCTGGCTCAAATTTGAGAACCTCTGGTTTCGTACATCTGGCAAAGGATTCTTGAGGGGAGATGGAGAATGGGAAGAACTGGCCTTAGATCTCTCCTCTCTGAGCCTCTGTTTCCGCATCTATAAAATGGGTATCAAAATCCACCATCTTTAAAGTCTCCCTGGCAATTCCAATCTTTCATGATTTTAAACTCATTCATCTCACAGGATCTCAGTTTTCTCAGTTGGGAAACTGGTCAGGATCAGTAAATTATCCTCCCACCAATTTTCTCACCTGAAAAATGGGAGGATGGGGAGGGAGCCAAATTTCTAAATCTGTTTGAGGCAGAAGTCCTCAAACTTGAATGTATTTTGGGATGAAGGGGTTGGAGCTTAACAGGGCAGATTCAGTCGCCACCTCCAGACACAATTTAGTGGGTTTGAGGTGTCTGGGGCCCTGGTGAGTGATGCTTTCCCTGCTTTGGCCTAACTGTGGGTCAAAGTTAGACAAATCCTGATTATCCATCCTTTCCACGGCTGGACCTAAATGTCCCCTCCTATGAAGTGAGGGGAAAAGAGGCAGAGTCTGCCAAGCCTTTTTATTTACTTTTTTAAAGTGCATTTATTTCCTTATTTTAAAGATTTATTATCTATTTTATTTTATTTACTCTTGGCTGTCGGGTCTTGGTTGCGGCATGCGGGATCTTTTGTTGCGGCGCGTGGGCTTCTCTCTAGTTGTGGTGCGCAGGTTTTCTCTTCTCTAGTTGTGGCATGCAGGCTCCAGGGCACGTGGGCTCTGTGGTTTGCGGCATGCAGGCTCTGGTTGAGGTGCGCAAGCTCAGTAGTTGTGGTGTGCAGGCTTAGTTGCCCTGCGGCCTGTGGGATCTTAGCTCCCTGACCAGGGATTGAATCCGTGTCCCCTGCACTGTAAGGTGGCTTCCTTACCACCGGACCACCAGGGAAGTCCCCCGTCAAGCCTTTTTAGAGTCCCACCTTTTCAGTCCTGATAGGGCCACCTCTAGGCCATAGAGCATCTTTGTGGAAATTAGAAAAAGGTGCCCCTTCCTTTGAGTGGATGCAGCCCCCCGCCGGGTCTGACAAGTGGACTTCAGGCTGGGTGTCTGCCCCCCTCTCAACCCCTCAACCACACGCTCTGAATGTAGCAGCCCTGGTAGCCTAGCTGAAACCAAAAAGGCTTTGGAATTGGTCGGATCCAGGTTCAAATGCCACAGCCCAGAGTGGTTGAGCATCTTGCCCAGGTCACACAGCAAGGAGGAGGCCAGGCAGGCTCTCCAAAGCCCAGAACTTAACTGGCTTTTTCTGAGTCCTTCTTGCAACTGTGGGTGTATGTTAAGAAAGAGGGTATCAAACATCACAGGAACCCCAGAATTAACCCACTCTTCCCCACAGACAGACCGTTAATGCCACCGGGCACCTTTCAGACACACTGTGGCTCATCCCCATCACATTCCTGACCATCGGCTACGGGGACGTGGTGCCGGGTACCACATGGGGCAAGATTGTCTGCCTCTGCACTGGGGTCATGGTGAGTACACCCACTCAGGGACCCTGCCTTTATCCCACACTGCTCATCCCCTGGGCCCCAGGAAACCACAGAGCCAACTAAGGCACTCAGGGACACCCCCAAGAAACTCGGGTGTCTGGACCCCCACAGCCCCATCCCCTGTCCAGGACACAAACACTAGCCTCATTTCCTTTGAAAATCCAGGAATCCATCCCCTGAGTCCTTGCTCTCTCCAGAACCTAGGATCCAGCCCTCGCCCTCCTCGGGAACACAGGCCCCGGACCTCCCAGCCCCATTTCCTCCCAGATTCCAGGAGTCCAGTCCCAAGCCCCACCAAGACTCAGGTATCTTGCCCTCTCCACCCGCCTTTACCCTCTCAGTCATCCAGGACTCAGGTACCTGGTTTCCCAGCTCTAGGCTCTTCCAGGACCCAGGAATCCAGTCTCCCAGCCTCCATTAAAGCTATTTAGACATCAAGAGCATGCCTGTGGACTCAGGCTGCCTGGGTTCAAATCCTGCTTCTGCCCACTTCCTAGCTGGGAGTCAGCCACACAATCTTTCCGGGCCTCAATTTCCTCATCTGTAAAATGGGGATGCTGATACCAGCGTACTCCTCACGGGGTTCCTGAGAAGACGAAATGAATTAAACCATGTAAAGGGTCTCAAACACAGAAAATGCTCAGTAACTGGGTCAGGGGGTGGCGATGCGGAAGCTGTTGTTGTAACTGGTTCCAGGCGTCCGGCTGCCCCTACCCCAGCTCTTGTGCCCTCAAGGATGAGGCAGAGGCTCCCCAAGCGCCAGACTCCAGCCTCCTCCCCAGAGTCGGCCTCCTCCTACATCTAGACACCTGCCCCCTTCCCCTCATAGACCCAGCACCCAATGCCTTGGCCTTCACCTCCCTGTGAGATCTGGCTCCCTTCACCCGCAGGAATTCAAGCCTCCAGCCCCAGCCCTGATTTGTCCAAGGAAGGACATGGTGAATCCCCCAGTCCTGGGTCCACAGGTGATGCATGGGGGGAAATGTGACAGCCCCCTTCCCTCCAGCAGTGAGTCTTTGTGACTAGGAAAGAGGGGCAGAGACTCAGCCAGGCACACACTCCCAAAGGGAGATAAGGTGATTTGCACTCGAGCTCACGACCAACTCCTAGCTGAGAGGTTCCAAGGTACAATGAAATTATAACGGCTAACTTTTATTGGGCACATACTCTGTGCCAGTCTCTGCTCTAAAGGTGTCAACTTATGGAATCCTCAGAGTAATACTGTGAGGGTGTGCACATTTTACAGATAAGAAACTCAGACACTAAGAGATTAGATAACTTGCTCTGAAGCTGGGCTTGAAACCCAAGCAGTCCCAGAGCCAAGGTTTACAGCTAGTAATTATTCTGAGGGTCAAGAGTTGAAACATATGGGGTGGGGGAAGACTTCAGGAGATTCATTCTAACTCCAGGTGCTACAGAGCAGTTGGGATTTGTTGGGGCCTTGAAGGACCAGAGGCCTCGAGAAGGAAGGGAGAAGAGTGAGACCAAGGTGCTCAGGCAGGTGAGGGCTGAGTTGCCTGGGACGGGAGCTGGGCAGAGGAAGAAGAGCGGCCTGGACCTTGGAAGGCCTTGAGAGCTGCGCTAAGAAGTCTGGGGCAGTGGGAGCCTAGAAGGAGATTAGGGTGAGGGCATCAGGGACATAACTGGATGTTCGATCTCCCTGGGGTCAGGGTGGAGTGAGGGAAACGCTGGAGACTGTCCAGAAGGGAGAGGATGTGGCCAGAGCTGGGCAGAGGCTGTAGGGGTGGGGAGGAGGGGGAGGACACCCTCGCTGACCTGACGGCCCACTGGACCGTGGGGAGGAAAGGGTCCCGCAGGAGCCTGAGGTCTGCTCCTTGCCCAGAACCAGCCCTTCTCCCCAATCTCCAATCACACTTAACCGAAGAGAACATGGGCTTCCCTGGTGGCGCAGTGGTTAAGAATCCACCTGCCAATGCAGGGGACACGGGTTCGAGCCCTGGTCCGGGAAGATCCCACATGCCACAGAGCAACTAAGCCTGTGAGCCACAACTACTGAGCCTGCGCTCTAGAGCCCCCGAGCCACAACTACTGAGCCCACGCGCCACAACTACTGAAGCCCACGCACCTAGAGCCCGTGCTCTGCAACAAGAGAAGCCACAGCAATGAGAAGCCCGCGCACCACGACAAAGAGTAGTCCCCACTCGCCACAACTAGAGAAAGCCCATGTGCAGCGACGAAGACCCAATGCAGCCAAAAATAAATAAAATAAAATAAATAAATTTCTTTTTTTAAAAAAAGAGAGAGAACATTATGATGGTGTAAATACCACACCTAGGAGTTGGACTCGGATGCATGATTTTATGATCCCAGCTCCACCACTGGGAGCTGTGGGACCCTGGCTCTCTCTGGGCCGGTTTGCTTGACTGTCAATTAGCGGTGGTGGTGCCTGCTGTCTGTGGCTGGTGGGAGGGCTCAAGTAGAGAGAGAGTTGGTGGCACACGGCTGGTCCTCAGATCCCCACGGGCCTTGTGTCATAGTGCCTGCTGTGCCCACAGGGGGTCTGCTGCACAGCCCTGCTGGTGGCCGTGGTGGCCCGGAAGCTGGAGTTTAATAAGGCAGAGAAGCACGTGCACAACTTCATGATGGATATTCAGTATACCAAAGAGGTGAGGGGGGCCTCCAGCACCCAGAGCACACCCCTTCCACAGCCCCAGGATCCAGGCCCCTGGCCCCTCCCGCCTCAGATCCAGGATCCAGACCCCGGGCCCCTCCTCCCAGAACCCTAGGAGGACTATCTCGCTTGACACTGTGAAACCCACCCCCAGATGAAGGAGTCGGCCGCCCGAGTGCTGCAAGAGTCCTGGATGTTCTACAAACATACACGCAGGAAGGACTCTGGAGCTGCCCGCAGGCACCAGCGCAGGCTGCTGGCCGCCATCAACAGGTGAGGACCTCTGTGCGTGCGTACGCCATGTCCAAGTCTCTTCCTCTCTGCAGGGTGCACGCACACGCGCGTGTGTGTGTGTGACCAAGCATGAACGTGTGCCCAGGTCAGGATGCCCATGTGTTGTTTCACTGAACGGATGCCCACCTGGACCTCACAGTGACTCTGCGTGATGGTTTCGTTTACATGTCTCAGAGTGTCTGTGGGCCTGGATGCCCGGGTCTCTATGTGGGAGGCGGGCTCATGGGTGCAGCCACCCCCTCTCATCCCACCTCTGAGCTAGGGCCACTCTGACTCCCCCATTTTTTTCCCCCCAGTTTCCGCCAGGTGCGGCTGAAACACAGAAAGCTCCGGGAAAAAGTGAACTCTATGGTGGACATCTCCAAGGTACTGGGATCCCATGAGAGGGGGTCTGGGAGAAGAGGGAGGTTGGGGGCAGCTGGTAAGGAGATCTGGCCCTGGAATAGGGAACGCTGGCACACACAGGCACTCACTAAAGGTTTGTGGCTGAACGAACAAATGAATGAATAAGTGAATGATGCAATAGCGTTTCTCATGTAAGGTGCAACTTGTACAAAGAACTCCAGTGTTCGATGTGAAATTATCTCCATTGTCAAGTTACTTACATGTGGACGGATATAAAATTCCTTTCAACTATGACTCTTATACAACAATAAAACCAAAGCAAATTGACAAACCAAGTTCAGACACAAAGGGCAAAGCAATAAAATGCGAATTAACAGCACTGACACACGGACAGGTGGAAAACTCAATCTGTGTTGCTATTGTGAAGAGGGGGCCCAGGAGCGCTGGGCAGCCTTGCCTGGCCAAGGGGTGACTCAGCTTGCCCTCCTTCTCCTGGGTCCCCTTGATTCTGAAGTGTTCGAGTAGGTGACATCATGCACCCCGGCTTGGCTCACAGCACCTCTTGCTTATCCGGTAGCCTCTGCTTTTTTCTCATTAGTCCACGACAATTCAAACAGTGGCCCTTGGCCCCAATACCATGGTAAACACAGCCACAGATGCCGGCCCCTAAACTGCATGGTGGTGGCCTAAATCTGCCGGAATTGGCAGGTCATGATTTCCAAGATTATCCACCCGGCCCAAAACACGGAAGTCAAGAGTTCTCATAGAAAGCTCACACACTCTCAAGGACGAAGCTGTGAATCCTAGTTTGAGAAGGCAGAGAAAGGGCTCTGTGGATTGTGAAGTTAGGCAGTCATCAATTACACAAAGATTTAAGTGAGCACCTACTAAGTTCTAGGGCCTCCCTGATCCAGGTGCTGCCTTGGGCGTGTCATTTAACTGCTCCAGGCCTGTTTCCTCAGCTCTTAAAAATAGAAACAGGATTCCCACTGCCCACACTTTTAGGAGGATTTTAAACTATAAAAAGCACCGGGCCAAGTTGCTGGGCGGTGGCAGGTGGTTGATCAGGTACCTGATATTATTGAGGATAGTCCTCCAAGGCCTGTAAGGACTTAGTAAATGCTGGTTCCGCTGCCTTACTCCACGGGGCAGGGAGAGTCTCCCCCAGCTGATCCCTCTGACCTCTCTCTGCCCAGATGCACATGATCCTCTGTGACCTGCAGCTGGGTCTGAGCACCTCACACCAGGCCCTGGAGAAGCAGATTGATGCGCTGGCAGGGAAGCTAGACACCCTGACCGAGCTGCTTAGCGCTGCCCTGGGTCCACGGCAGCTTCCAGAACCAAGCCAGGAGGCCACGTAGCTGGTAAGGGAGCTGGGACTTGGGCAGGAGAACATCCTGGAGGAAGGGTGCCTGTGGCCAGCACTCCATGTGACTAAGGGGGTGGGGGATGGGTGGCCTGGAGGTGAGGCCACCCTTTCTCTTCCGCTTTGGCTCTGTCTGGAGGGAGGGACTCCAAGTTCGGGGCTGGACCAGCAGCGAAGGAAACAGACGTTCCATCCCCCCTTCACAGACTCTCAGTACCCGCTCTCTCTTTCTTTGCTTGGTCTCTGTCTCTGTCTCTTCCTCTGGTGTCTGGCCTGCTTGTCTATCCAGCTCTCTGTTTGTCTCCCCAGGACCCAGCCAGGAAGAACCAGGCTACTTTCCCCAGGATTGAGGTCAAGGACATTCTCTCTGCTACTCCTAACCCAGCCCCATGCATAAAGCCAGTTAAGCGTAAGGACCCAGGGGGGCCACACCTTGGGGTGGGTTGACTCCCTGATGGCTGCTGGCGGGGACACTAGCTGAAGGAGGGAGGCCGTGGCCCATCCCCACCGAGGCCCCAAACGGGAAAATGGTCACCCCTGTCCCACATACCCTGTGCCTGGGGACTGGGACTCCTGAGTCCCAGAGGAGGAGGGGAGCGGGGGCCCAGAGTCCAAGATCCTGGACTGCATCAGTTACCCGCTGACCAGCACAGATGAAGGAACGAGGCCCGAGGCAGAAGGCAGTGCCCCCTGGTGGGAGATCGAGGAGGACACCAATTCTCCAGAGCTGCAGAGAATTATCTGGTGGGGGAGAAGGTGGGACCTGGGGGGAAGGGGGAAGCTCACCAGTCTCTGCTCTTATACTTTGTAATAAATGTTAAACAAAGTCAGAAGAAGTTGCTGTTTCTTTCGAAACATATCCACACTCCAAACAGGCAGGTCAGCCAGTGGAACGCCCTTGCCCTGTCTGAACCTGTTTCCCCATCTATAAAACAGAGGCCTCTAAGACGTATCCTCCCGGGTCTGTAGGCTGGGGAGTCCTCAACTCCCACCTGGCCCCAGCCCAGACCTGCGGCGAAGAGCAAGGGCTTTCAATTCAGGCCCAGGAGCCCAGCCCCCCAGCCCCTCCTCCCTCAGACCGAGGAGTCCAGGCCCCCAGCCCTCCTCCCTCAGATTTGGATCAGGGTCCAAATCCTGGCTCTGCCAACCACTGGCTGTGTGACTTTGGGCAAGTGCCTTCACCTCTGAACATTTCACTTCACCTGTAAGATAGGGCCCCCTTCCCATGGGTCAGCTGTGAAGATTAAAACTGGGAGTGCACAGAGGGTCAGGTATTTAGTAAGAACAAATACAGGCGAGAACTTAATCATTTTTATTAGTGCTACTGATTTTCAGACACAATGAATACGGGGCTGCCCTTTCTCTTTTTTCTACTGCCCTTTAACCCTCTCTACTCACATCCCACCAGAACCTAGATGAAAACTCACCTATCAGGAGACTAACAGGAACTCCAAACCATCCTACGTACTTGTTTCATACCTGCTAGGGCTAAGACAGAAAAAGGAAAGGGGGCTGGCACTTACAGAGGTCCTCCTGTATGCCCAGCTCTGCGCTCCTGTTTTGTAAGTCACCACCACCACTGCCCGCCCCATTCCACCCCATTGTACAGACACAGAAACTGAGGTTTCAAGAGGAGCAGGGCCTAGAGGGCCTGGATTCACACCCAGCTCATCCCACTGCAGAGCCCTCCCTCTCTGCCCTGCTTGAGGTGAGTCAAAGACAGAGCAGCCTTGGACCCTGAACCTAGGTCTCGTTTCCCACAGCCGCTTCGTTCCACTTGCAGAGGCTGATTCATCCTCGCTTCCCTTGATTTGAGGGGAAGCCCAGGCTGCGAGTCATCCTTCTCTGCTGAGCTATCTTTGGATTTCCCTGCAAGTCCACAGCCAGCCTCCCCCTCAGCCCCAAGAGCTAAACTGGGGTTTGCACCACCCACTGCCGCAGACAGCCCTTCCTCTGGACGCCAGCCCATCTGCGGGGAAGAGGAAACAGGAACATTTCCAACACCCTACCCCTGCAGTAAGCCCTCCTTAGTGATGCCAGATACCCTGCCGAACTCATTCCTCCAGGACCACCCTTTCCTAGTTGTACTTGGCTTCAGCGGGCAAACTCCTTCTTACTCCTCCTTTGGGCCCCTGCTTAGATGCCCCCTCCTCCAGGAAGCCCTCTCTGAAGCTCCCATAGCCCCACGAACCTGTCTCTATTACGACAATAATATTTATTGGGCAAAGCCCCAAGTTAAGTCCTTTATATAAATGATCTCACAAAATCTCTACAAAAGGAGACAAGGTGGTATTATTGGTCCCATTTTACAGATGAGGAAACTGAGGCACAGAGATTAAGAACCCTGCCCAAAGCCACAGCAAAGAGATGGGGGAGCTGGGATTTGACCCAGGTGGCCGGGCTCTGGAGCCCCAGCACTTAGCCAACCAGCCCATTCATTCGCTCAGAGATCCCTACACCCTATTTTAATTTTTACTCTGTTGCGTCTTCAATGTCTAGGGCCTGGCATATACCAGGCCTCAGTGAATATCACTGAATGAACACATTACCTGGGATGGCTGGAAGCTTCTCACCCTCTACCACATGTTGGTTTCTTCTGGGACAAGGGACGAACTGGTTATAAGGGGCTTTTGACTAAGAAACTAAGAGCACACGTGAGAGCGCTCCTGTTCTGAGTTATCTCAGATCTGCCCCCCCCCGCCCTGCCCCCACTCTCCACTGTGGAGCTCAGGTCCTGACCTCTCCCTCCAGCAGTCTCTGCTCTCCCCCTCACACAATCAGCACTTCCTGAAGGCCCTGCACCAGGGGCAGGGCTGCAGGCATAAGTCAGAGGGCTCTGCCCCCAGGGGCTCAGTCTCATGGTGATTTTGGCAACTTCCCCCTCCTACTTCTGTTTTGCCTCCATGCCCACGAGAGGACTGGGTGGGGAAAAGTGGGTCCAGAGAGGGCTGGAGGGCTTACCAGGGTTAGAGAGCCAGTCAGGAGCTGGGGCCACCCCACCCCCCACCCCAACCATGCCCCAGACATGCCCTTCCTCTGTTCAAAATCCTTCCATGGTTCCCACCTGCCCTTCTCTCAAAGTCTGGCTCCTAGTCCTAGCTCATTTTTTCTCTTCTTGCAGGATCTTAGCTCCCTGACCAGGGATTGAACCCGCAACCCCTGCAATGGAAGCGCAGAGTCTTAACCACTGGACCACCAAGGAAGTCCCCACTCAATTTTCTTTCATTGAGATTTATTTTACATAAACAACACAAATTTTAAATGTGGCCTCAATAGATTTTTTACAAAAGAATTTACCTGAGCAACTACCACTCAGCTCAAGCTTGAAGTTTCTGGGCCCCTAAAAACTCTCACGTCCCTCCCGTCTTGATTCCTTTTGCCCAATTTTGAACTCTGAAAGGAACCCTGCTGCACACCCTGGTGTGTACCTGCTTCTTGGTACCAGCCAGGTGCACATTCGTTTTTACTACAGAATGGTGTTACTACGCACACAGGCCTCACCTGGGGGAGCTCTTCAGGCTCTGCACCCCCCTGCCCCTGCCTCTAGCCTCCCCATAACCTCCCTGTCATGGCTGCTAATGATTCTGCAGCCAATTCCAGTGTGTGAGGGTTTTTTTCCCCCATGCCAAGCAATTCTCAGACACCACAGTCGACTCAATCCTGACACTGTCTACCTGGAGACAGCGTCAGATTCCACAGGTTAAGGGTTCAGTCCTACAAGACTGCCCCCTACCCTCACCCCTTCAGATGCCAATTTCAAGTCCAGGCTGTCACCCATGCTTCTGACCGACTGGCTACAGATCCAACAACCCCCTTCCTTGGGTTCGATGAGTGGCTCACAGAACTCAGAGACGTGCTTGATTTACTAGATTACTGGTTTCTTATAAAAGGATATAACTCAGGAACAGCCACGTGGAAGAGATGCATAGGGCAAGGTATGGGGAAGGGGCAGGGAGCTTCCATGACCTCTCTGGGCACCACTCTCCCCAAATCTCCATGTGTTCACCAACCTGGAAGATCTCCAAACCCTGTCCTTTGAGGTTTTCTATGGAAGCTTCATTACACAGTCATGACTGATTAAATCATTGAACTTCCGTGACTAATTCAACCTCCAACCCCTCTCCCCTCCCTGGAGACCTGGAAGTTCTGACCCTCTAATCATCCAGTTGGGTCTCTTGGCACCCAGCCCCTATCCTTAGGTTACCTAGGTGCTTTCCAAAGCCACCTCATTAACATAACAAAACACACCCTTATTACCCCGTTCCAAAGGGTTTAGGAGCTCTGTTCCAGACTCAGGGGACAAAGACCAAATACATATTTATTATAAATCACAGTATCACAGCTGCTCCAGCCACAGGGCTCTTCCCTCCCAAAGATTCTCTGTTGTAATTGCCCACCACTCTCTTGGCCCTTTTGCCCCAACCATGTAGAACAAACATGGCCAGTATTTGTCCAGTTCTTTATGATGGTTGGTGAAGGAAGCTGTATCGTCTACATCAACACCAGACTGCAGTCCAAGGACCTGTTTTGAGCTTTGCTGCTGTGTGGGATTACTGCTTACATATAAAAACTAGGAGAGTGCTTTTCACAATTTGGAGGCAATGTCAAATGGTAACACTTTCCTTTCTTCTACCAGGATGAGCTGGCCCTCCTTCAGTTCAAGTCCAAGCCCTGTCTCCACTTGCAACCAGGCTGCACCCTCTCTCGCCTCCTTGAGGGCCTGGGTCCTAAGTCTCCTGCCTCATCCATTTTCCCTGCTATTGAAACAGGAGGCAAGGGGCAGGGCACAACCTTTAAAAGAATGACATAGCCAAAGGACGTTAGAACCAACTAAGTCCAAGATGGCGGAAGATTCAACTTCCAGTGGAACTTGAGCCTCATTATATGCTCATTGTAATACATTAGCATATGCTAAATGACACACCCACCAGCACCATGACAGGTCTGAGGACAAGCATAAAAGGTCAAAAAGTGTGCTGTGGTGCAATTCCTGGAAATCCACGCCCATTCCCCTGAAATAGATGGAATAATCCTTCCACTCATTAGCCTATGAAATTACCCAGTCCATAAAAATTAACCACCCCATATTTCAGGGCCTCTCGCCTTCTGAGATGGCCCACACTCTGTCTGTGGAGTGTGTTTCTCTCTAAATAAATCCACTTCTCACATATCACTTTGTCTCTCACTGAATTTTTTCTGCAAGGAGACATCAAGAACCTGAGCTTCATTAAGCCTTGAGACCAGGTGTGTCATATCAATTAAAAGGCCATGGGGAAGATGGCGGAGTAGAAGGATGTGAGCTCACTCCCTGTTGTGAGAGCACTGGAATCACAACTAACTGCTGAACAATCATCGACAGGAAGACACTGGAACTCACCAAAAAAAGACACCCCACATCCAAAGGCAAAGGAGAAGCTGCAATGAGACGGTACAAGGGGCGCAATCACAATAAAATCAAATCCCATAACCGCTGAGTGGGTGACTCACAAACTGGAGAACACTTATACCACAGAAGTACACTCACTGGAGTGAAGGTTCTGAGCTCCACGTCAGGCTTCCCAACCTGGGGGTCTGGCAACAGGAGGAGGAATTCCTAGAGAATCAGACTTTGAAGGCTAGTGGGATTTGATTGCAGGACTTGACAGGACTGGGGGAAACAGAGACTCCACTCTTGGAGGGCACACACAAAGTAGTGTGTGCATTGGGACCCAGGGGAAGGAGCAGTGACCCCATAGGAGACTGAACCAGACCTACCTGCTGGTGTTGGAGGGTCTCCTGCAGAGGTGGGGGGTGGCTGTGGCTCACCATGGGGACAAGGACACTGGCAGCAGAAGTTCTCGGAAGTACTCCTTGGCACAAGCCCTCCCAGAGTCCGCCATTATCCCCACCAAAGAGCTGGGTAGGCTCCAGTGCTGGGTCACCTCAGGCCAAACAACCAACAGGGAGGGAACCCAGCCCCACCCATCAGCAGACAAGCCAATTAAAGTTTTACTAAGCTAGGCCCACCAGAGCAACACCCAGCTCTACCCACCACCGGTTGCTCCCATCAAGAAGCTTTCACAAGCCTCTTTGAGAACTTCATCTACCAGAGGGCAGGTAGCAGAAGCAAGAGGAACTACAATTCTGCAGCCTGTGGAAGGAAAACCACATTCACAGAAAGACAGACAAGATGAAAAGGCAGAGGACTTTGTACCAGATGAAGGAACAAGATAAAACCCCAGAAAAACAACTAAATGAAGTGGAGATAGGCAACGTTCCAGAAAAAGAATTCAGAATAATGATAGTGAAGATGATCCAGGACCTCGGAAAAAGAATGGAGGCAAAGATCGAGAAGATGCAAGAAATGTTTAACAAAGACCTAGAAGAATTAAAGAATAAACATCTAGAAGAATTAAAGAACAAACAAAAAAAAAGAAAAAACAAACAGAGATGAACAATACAATAACTGAAGTAAAAAATACACTAGAAGGAATCAAAAGCAGAAGAACTGAGGCAGAAGAATGGATAAGTGAACTGGAAGACAGAATGGTGGAAATCACTGCCACAGAACAGAATAAAGAAAAAAGAATGAAAAGAAATGAAGACAGCCTAAGAGACCTCTGGGACAACATTAAACATACCAACATTCTCATTATAGCGGTCCCAGAAGGAGAAGAGAGAGAGGAAGGACCCAAGAAAATATTTGAAGAGATTATAGTCAAAAACTTCCCTAACATGGGAAAGGAAATAGCTACCCAAGTCCAGGAAGCGCAGAGAGTCCCAGGCAGGATAAACCCAAGGAGAAATATGCCAAGACACATAGTAATCAAACTGACAAAAATTAAAGAAAAACAAAAATTATTGAAAGCAGCAAAGGAAAAACAACAAATAACATACAAGGGCACT